TAACGTGCTTACTTAAGTAGAGAAATAGGATGTCCTAATTACTTGAGGTATACTTAAGGCGTTACTTAAGTTTAAGGCGCAATTTGCTCCTATGAAACAGGCCCCCTACCTAAATAGATATTTAAGTACCGTGTTTGCAGCCCACAGTGTCACCCTATGGCTCTGCATCCCTCTCATAGTGACCTTGACTCCCTTCAACTCACACGTAAGTGAAGATATTTAGCGAGTTTACGCTAAACATGATGAGGCAGCGTCACGGTACGTGCGCTCGCTCGCCATCGATCGTTTGGAGACGAGACGGCTGCTGCTGTCAGCCTCTCGCCGTCTCATTTTTATTCATTACTGTCATTAAGCCGTTGATCTTGTAGCCTTTACCATACGCTTTCTAATGAGCAATCTTGGATCGTCTACTACTGCTATCTATCAACGCACATCGGAAAGTCCTCCAGGCTTGAGTTCGGCTAGTTCCCAGGAAGCTGGGGTGACAGATATTAGAAAGCTGGCTACCCTGTTTGATGACGCCCCGGTTTATGCTAAAGTCCTGGTCGATCTGGATGTTGATCAACTTGATAAACCTACTGACGAGGCTTTCATCGATCAGGCAATAGAGGGCTTCGACATCCTCAAGGCTTCAGATGCCGGTGTTAGGGGAATCCTAACGAAGTGGACTAACTTCATACGAGATAAACTCAGAGCGTCCTCTGGGCCCGTGGCGTCCGGAGAGGACCCAACGGAAACGGCCGTGATCGTATTTAAAGAGCTCCTGTACAGCGCTTTGGTGGTAGAAGTACAGTCCGAGGTGGCGGTGCTGGTCTGCGCTTCCCTTGCTACGTCTGCGGTGAAGAAAGCCTTCCGCCTCCATCGGCTAGCCGAGCTTGGGTCGGCTCGGACGCTAGAAGATAAGGTCATTTCATTGTTTAAGCGACAGAGTTCTACGGTCGATGGGACCGAGTTTCTAGACGGAAAACAGCAAAGGCCGACATCCGAAGCACGTTCCGCCAAGTCGCCTAACAACCCGCACAAGCTACCCCTGCAAGTGTCTACCCCTTTCGATGGACCTACTCCCGCTTTGCCCTACACTATGTTCCGTAACGCGCTGAAGAC